TCCATTGTTAGAAGGAAGAAAAATTCAAGTGATTGCTCCGGCGCTGCACGCGTGCACACTGTTGAGCATTGCTAACTTGACAATGCAGCCTGTTCATTATCATAATAAAATAGTCAGTCAAACATGGGGGGGAAAAAAAAAAAACACACACACACACACACACACACACTGCTCAGTTTAAATATGAAGTAAAATCCGTGCACACATTTTGTTTTACGTGGACATTGGAATGCGAGTGAAGTACAAAACCAGGTTTACATAAATAATATTTTGCCATTCAAATACATCGCGAATACGGAAACATTTGGATTTGGTTTCAGTTTCGTTTTAGCCTAAATGAATTCGTTTTGGCTTGTCCTATATAGCTATAGCTTCTTACATTTTTAATTCTTGTTCTTTCCTGAATACTGTTAAATTTAAAAGATTTGCTGTGGAGGGGAACTAAAATAGCCTAGCCTATGCGTTTATAATGTTTGTAAACATTTCGCGTCGGCATTAGGCCATTTCTGAATGAAATAATAAAATGCGACTTAGGCTACGCGACGTTTTTTTCTCTCAATTTTTATTTTATAGGTCTACGCGTAGCGTATTTTAACCATGCAGTAAACTTTTAAAATATTTTGATTAATAACTGGGGAAAAAAAGACTTTAAACCATTTAACTGATTGTATTAATCCGTCAAAATTCTTACTGTCGGTTAAAGGCTAACCGGTTAAAATGCTGAATATTTTCAATGAAAATACTTAATCCAGTTCACAAAACAATTTGTTCATGAATTGGAAAGATCTGATTCTCACTGACTCAAGAGCTATGCTGGCATGCACCAAAATTGGTAATAATTGTTGGTTTGTAATAGTAATTTTTAGTAATTGTTAATAACTGTTAGTAACTGGATTAAACGCTTACATTTAAGGCTCAAACAGACTGAAAAGCCTTCTTGTAAACACATCAATCGATCCGAATGAGCAAGATCTAGATGAAATTTCGATTTTATTAAACATTGAAACAAATATTAAACAGAACTGCAATCTGAAATCAGACTGAATTCATTCAGATTGAGGACAATTTGTGTATGTACACATATCTAATGATCTGGTTGCAATGGTTAACAGCTCATCTGAGTGAAATATTACAGTCAATAATGACTTACATTCCAGAAGACTTGGGACAACGTCATGTGCATTACACTTATGGTGGGTTTTGTTTTGCCAGTTTGGAGCTTTACAGCCAGGCCTCGTTCAATTTCATTATATCAGTTAAAAAAAAATAAAAAAAATAATTCACGTTTGAAATGGCAGGATGAGTAAAATGACGACAATTTTTTATTTTTGGGAGAACATCCATTAATAATTTGAGTGGGTAAAGAACAAGGAATGTACAACACGACAAAACTAGACAAATGTGCAAAACCTCAGCCAGCTCAGTCCCTCTCTATCACAGCTATGAGCAAATCCTTTCAACATTCACCAGCACGTCACAGACGATGACATACATAATGCAAATGCACACTATTTTTATTCTGATGCATTATGTATATCAGAGGTGAGTGAGTGCATGCTGACTGAGAGAAACCACTGTCACCGTCAGCTATTAACAGACCATCCCAAACTCCCTTTCAAAGATGTCATCACAAAGCTTATATGATCAACCAACATCACGGACCTGCTCTAATAATTTGACTCTTTTGTACCACAGATATTATGTCAATCCCATAATCATGTTCCACCTGCAATAATCCACATTCTACAGGAGTACCACCATTATTTGATTACATAATGTGGAAGAAATGTTACATCACTGCAGATGGTAAATAATTACAAAATAGAGCTCACATATTCTGGTGCAATTCGATGCAAACGTTTCATTCCTAACTAACATTTAACATTGCATTCCTTACCATAGTTCCAGTTCCAGCCAGTCACTACAGTTATTGCTATGGCTGTAAAAATATAATAAATTAATAGTGAAACACAATCTAAAGGGAAAGACGGACGGGGCCCTAAATGAACAAATAAAATAAAATCTCAAAACAAGTAGTAGTAGTAGTAGTAGTAGTAATAATAATAATAATAATAATAATATTGCTTAACTGTTCTCATTATATTCTCATTTTCATATATATAGGGGTTATGGTATGGGCAGGCGTATGTTATGGACAACAAACACAGGAGCATTTTATTGATGGCATATCAATAATACCGTGTAATACATGATACATAATACATGATACCGTGACGAGATCCTGAGGCCCATTGTTTTGCCATTCATCCACGACCATCACCTCATGTTGCAGCATGATAATGCACGGCCCCATGTTGCAAGGATCTGTACACAATTCCTGGAAGCTGAAAACATCCCAGTTCTTGCATGGCCAGCATACTCACCGGACATGTCACCCATTGAGCATGTATGGGATTCTCTGGATCGGCGTATACGACAGCGTCTTCCAGTTCCTGCCAATATCCAGCAACTACGCACAGCCATTGAAGAGGAGTGGAACAACATTCCACAGGCCACAATCAACAACCTGATCAACTCTATACGAAGGAGATGTGTTGCACTGCGTGAGGAAAATGGTGGTCACACCAGATACTGACTGGTTTTCGGACCCCCCAATACAGTAAAACTGCACATTTTAGAGTGGCCTTTTATTGTGGCCAGCCTAAGGCACACCTGTGCAATAATCATGCTGTCTAATCAGCATCTTGATATGCCACACCTGTGAGGTGGATGGATTATCTCGGCAAAGGAGAAGTGCTCACTAACACAGATTTAGACAGATTTGTGAACAATATTTGAGAGAAATAGGCCTTGTGTGTACATAGAAAAAGTCTTAGATCTTCGAGTTCAGCTCATGAAAAATGGGGGCAAAAACAAAAGTGTTGCGTTTATAATTTTGTTCAGTGTAATATATATTAATTTTTTTTTTTTTTTTTTTGTTATTGTTAAAGTATTGTCAAAAGCTATCAAAAATATTTTTCAAAAAAAAGTTTCTGAATAGCATTTTTTGGATACACAAACTAAACTAAAATAAAATACAAATAAAGTAACATTAGTCATTTTCCAGTCATTCTTCGCCAGCATAAGACAATTCATACCAGGTAACATCATGATAAATGACATCACCTTATAACAGGACATGATCCAAATGTTTGTAGGCTACACAGAAAAAAGTAATTAGGAAAGCAAGAAACAGAAAAGGATAAAGAGAAACAATAATCCATAAATCAAACCACAAAAGACACCTCGAGAGCGTGACGCTAATGTTTGAGGCATGAGATCTGCACCGCTGCTTGAGAGAGCTCTCCGTTCAGACACCCAATTAGCCAATCGGCAGCCACAGCTCCGCAGGCCTGTAGATTCTAATTGGCAGCTTCCTCCTGCCTTTGCTTAACACGTTTTGTTTTTGTGCAGTCAGAGGAAGGAAAGCCTCAACACACGAGTGTGAAACTTGCCGGCCCTTGCACAACAATGCAGCTGCTTATCTGCATATGACAGGGCCAATTTAAATAAAGAGTACATATGTAAAACAGGAGGAGGAGTGGGCACTTTGTTAAAGCTATCCTAATTAGAGCAGAGAGCTGTCGGCCAATCAAATGCCTGCTTATGTTGTGGCGCACCACAGAAATGCTAAAAAAAAAATTTTTTTTTAAAAAGTAAAAATGTCGCGATCGCTGTAGATTATCACGGATAATATGAACAAAGCAGTAACACTCATGTTCTGTTTGGGGTCAAAGCTTCAATAATAGATGCTAAACTTAGAGAAGCATATTAAAATAATTTATAGGGAATAATACTTTAATTTTGAAATTACTACTGGACCATTAAATGTCAATTCAAACCAGAAGTCTGTTTTCAGTAGTGTGCCCTACATTTTTTTTTTTTTTTTTCCCCCGAAAGAAATTAATGCTTTTCAGCAAGGATGCTTTAAATTGACCTAAAGTGACTAAAGACATTTATATTCTCCCAAAAGATGTATATTTCAAATAAACGCTATTCTTTCGATTCTTCCTGAAAAATAAGTGTACAACAAAGAATTAAAAATTGATATGAAATATTTCTTGAGCACAAGATCAGCATATTAGAAAGATTACTGAAGGATCATGTGACACTGAAGACTGGAGTAATGGCTGCTGAAAATTCAGCTTTGACACGACAGAAATACATTACATTTTAAAATATATTCAAATAGAAAACAGGCCTTTTAAATTGTAATGATTTCTCACAAAATTACTGTATTTCTATCAAATAAATGGATCCTTAGTAACCATAGAGACTTTTTTCAAATATGTTTAAAAAATTACCAACCTCCAAATTTTGACTTTTGATTTGACCATTTTTCTTCCCAGTCACATGTAAAAACTGTGAAATTTTAATAGATTTTAATAATATATTACTCTTTAAATATTTATGAATTCAATTAGTAGTTTTGCTTTCAACCATTTGTGTGTCTTCATCTTTGTTCAGAAAATTAACAAAATAAAAAAAATGTGGTAGATTAGACATGAAATAATCCTATTATTATTATTATTCTTACTAATAAATCACAGGGATGT